AATTCTAGTTTTCCTAACTCCAACACTATCCACTGTGCCACTGAGCTGCCCATCTAGAATCACCCCTACCAGCTAAAGGGTGGTGATTAGTCCTCTACTTATTTTGCCTAGTTTTAAGCCCTACCTAGAGTGGACTCAAGGCAACACCTTAGAGAGAAGGGCCCTCAGCCTCCTTGTTTTGGTCCAGTGAAAACAAATGCTTGATTTGGAGTCAGAGGCCATGGGTTGTCAGAGATTGTCAGATTTGGAGTCAGAGGAAGCTTGGCTCTAACATTTATTATCTATGTAACCTTGGCCGCATCTTAATCTTTCTAGGCATTAGCTTCTTCATCTGCAAAATGAAGGAGTTGGACCAGATGAACTTCTTCTGTAGTCCCTTTCTGTTCTAAATCTACAATCCTCTGATCCTAGCTCCTTTCCAGATCCAAATCTTTGATTCTAATTTTCCCCACAGCTCCCCACCTTCAGGCCCCCTGGATCCAAAACTTCATTGAGTCAGAATAACAGAGCCTTCCTATCTAAAAGACCTGGGGAAGTCTCTTCCCCTCTTTGGGCCTCAGTTTCCTCCTCTGTAAAATGATTGGGGGAGGGAGAGAGGGTAGCAGTGACCTCTAAATTCCTTTCCTGCTTTAAATACTACATTCCTCCATCACAACCTGCTTTTTTGAGTTCACAATCTACCTGCTTCTTCCTTGGAAATACAGTCATCTAAGGCTATCATCCTACTATTGCCCTATACCCAGGATATTCAGTGTTAATTGACATCCAGTCAATAAACATTTATTGAGCATCTATTTACTATGTGCCAAGCACTGTGCTAAGAGCTGGGGAAAGAAAAAAAAAGTCTCTGATTTCAAGGAACTCACAGTCTAATGGGAGAGACAACATGTAGACAACTATATACAGACAAGTTACACACAAGATAAATTGGAAATAATCAACAGAGGGAAGGCACTAGAATTATGAGGGATCAAGAAAGGATTCTTGCAAAAGGTGGGAGTTTAGCTGGAAACTGAAGGAAGCCAGAGGAGGCAGGAGCCACAGATGAGAAGGGAGACAATTCCAGGCAGAAGGAAACAACCAATAAAAACTACCTGGCACTGGGAGATGGAGTCTCTTGTTCAAGGAACAGTAAGCAAGCCATTATCATTGATCTCAGACTATGGGGGGCAAGTGTGGGGAGTATATGTGTAAGGGCTGAGAAGACTAGAAAGGTAAGAGGAGCAGGTTATGAAGGACTTTGAATGTTTGAATGACAAACATAGGATTTTATTTGATCCTGCAAGTGAAAGGGAGCTGCTGAGAGTCCATGACAGTGCATTTGTTCCTCTTACCCTGAAACATGGGACTTATGGAAATGTAAACACATTTATGTAGATAAGAATATAAATAGCCATCTATAAATGAGAGACCTAGGTTCTAGTCCTGGCTTTGCCACTAATACCATGTGAGACTCCCAAAGTAAACTGACGCATCTTTGCAGTCCTTAGTTTCCTCCTTTATCTAACTGGGATAATAACAAGGTTCTTGTGAGAAGAGAATAATGTCACAGACGAAAAGTTTGGAGAATGTAAAGTGGAGAGATAATGGAGAAGATTTGATCCAAGCAGAAAGTCCCAAGAGACAGTGAACTCTGGGGATATAGATACTTAAGAAAGGTTGTCTTACTCAACTTTTGTCTAAGACTTAGAATACAGACAGCACTTGTTCAAAATGATATATGTATTAGGGACACAGCCAGGACTTGAACCCAGATTCACTTACCGCAAATCTAGTATTTGTTCTATTGCATCACACAAAAAATCTCTCTCCATTCCTCATTAGAGGGTCTCACACTCTTGTCCATGCTAGTTGTGAGCCTTGGGAATAGAAGACTAAATAAAAATTGAAAGAACTCTGACTATCTTGTGCTTCCTGAGTACATATGCTATCTCACATCCCTTTTCCCCCAACACACTGGTGACACATTCTGGCTTATCTTTAGTGATAACCTATATCTCTTGAACTACAAGTTGTCTGATATTCTTTTCTTCTCATTCTGTGTCTCCAGAAAGTTATTTTGGATGCTGACAAAGACTCCATGTTTTCTCTCATGGGCAGTCTCAGGACCAACATTTCTGGCTCCCCTATCTTCATTCTAACAGGATTTCCAGGACTGGAAGCAATGGAGCCCTGGCTGGCCATCCCACTCCTCCTGCTCTATGCCATCTCCTTTGTGGGAAATGCCCTGATCCTAGTCATTGTCAAGGAAGAACAGAGTCTGCACCAACCTATGTACTATTTTCTGTCTTTGCTGTCAGTTAATGACCTGGGTGTTTCACTGTCCACACTGCCCACAGTCCTTGCTGCCCTCTGCTTCCATGCTCCTGAGGTTACATTTGAGGGATGCTTGGCCCAAATGTTCTTTATCCACCTCTTCTCCTGGACAGAATCTGGAATCCTGTTGGCCATGAGCGTTGATCGTTATATAGCCATCTGCAACCCACTTCGCTATGCCACAATCCTCACCAGTGCCCGCATTGCTGCCATGGGGCTGGCCACACTGCTCCGCAGCTTCCTGCTCATTCTGGTCTTCCCCTTGCTCCTTCAGCGGCTGCCCTTCTGCCACACACGAAATGTCCTCTCTCATGCCTACTGCCTACATGTGGACGTGATCAAGCTGGCATGTGCTGATGTCACCCTCAATAGCCACTATGGTCTATCCATTGTACTCCTCACCTTTGGCCTGGACTCTGCACTCATCTTCCTCTCCTACATCATGATCCTCCGCTCTGTACTGGCTATCGCCTCCCGTGAAGAGAGACTCAAGACACTCAACACCTGTGTGTCACACATCTGTGCTGTGCTCATCTTCTATGTGCCCATGGTGAGTGTGTCCATCGTGCACCGCTTTGGTGGCAGCCTTCCCCATGTGGTCCATATCCTCATGTCTATCCTCTACCTCTTTGTGCCACCAATGCTCAACCCCATTATCTACTCCATCAAGACAAAGGAAATACGCTGCAGGCTACTGAAGATGCTTTTCAGGGTCAAATTCTGATGGGAACCAACTAGAACTTACTTTGTCTACAAGAGGGTCATCAAGATAATGAGAGGACTGGAGACCATGCCATATGAAGATTGGCTGAAGTAGTTAGAGATCTTTGGCTTAAGAAAGAGAAGACTTAGAGGGGATATAAATACTAACTTCAAGGATTTAAAAGGAGGTCAGGTGAAAGAGAACCTGGGAAATTAATTAGTTTAGCCCAAAGGAAAGAACTAAGATTAATTTTGGTGGATGGGTGAGGTTTTTGGAGATGTAAATTTCAGCTCAATGTAAGGGAGAACTTCTTAAAACTTTAGAGCTATCCCAAAATGGAAAGGGCTATCCCAAGAAATAATGAAATCCCCCCCACCCCGTTCTGGAGGTCTTCTTGTTGGGATTTCAAATTCAATGACTTGGGTTCAAATCTCACCTCAGATATTTCCTAGCCGTGTGGCCATGGACAAATCACTTAACATGTTGAACCTCATTTTCTTTATCTGTAAAATGGGTATAATAATAGCTGTGGTACCTACTTCATAAGATTGTTGTAAGGCTCGAAAGAGCCTTTGTAAAGTGTAAAGCACTTTGTAAATTTTGAAATGCTATGTAAAAGTCAATTATTATAAATGGACTAGATGACTGGTTTCTCCAAATGCTAAATAAAAATCTCTGATCCTAAAAAAGAATTTATTAAGGTGCTATCCTGATGGGCCTGAGGCAATAGTGAAGAATCTGGGGGGCACTATGTAAGACACACTGGCTCATTAAGTAGATGTGGTAAGGTGAGCACCTGGGCAAGCAGTTCTATAACCTCTCCCTCTATTTCTGCTAGTCCTAACATCTACTGTCATTCAACAAGTATTTATTGGGCTCATATCCCCTTGTCTGTATGCCATCTTTATTGCTTTAGTAGGATGTGAGAAACAAAACTGCAGGATATTGTCACATAGGCAAAAATCTTGACTCTGATTGTAGTTAATAGATTTATTCTGTGTGGTTTCAGAGGAAATTAAATCCAAGAGGTAAAAGATACACACTGGGAGGAAGGCTGTAGCTCAGCAGAACTAAGGTCTTTCTAATAAACATGTCAAAAAATGGAACAGGCTGCCTTGGATGAAGTAAGGCTTTCCTGGTTAACATTAGGTCCACAGGGTCTGTGGTATGAAATACCATTTATGAATCCCTCTGCTCTGGACCCAGGCAGATAATTTGAACTGGGTCTAGTTTTAGGGAGCCTGGCCTCTAATCAGGGGGGGAATTAGGCTCCCTTTTCTCATACTCTTAAGCTCATTAAACAATTACAGTGGTGCCCTAGAGACAAATTTACTTAGCTTAGATCTTGGCTCACATTTAGGATTTCCTCGAGAAATGGAAGGGAGTTAAAAGTGGTACTCAGCATATAATATGACTCAGGTATGGATTAGGTATTTTATTCCTATTCACAAAAGAAAGGCTAATAATAAAAGATACACAGGGTGCATTAACAGAACAATTTAAAATAAGTTTCAGTAATTTAAGATATGACTACTATTACAGTCTCTTGGGAGACTGATATTTAAATTTCATCAGAATATAAAGCAGATTTTTTGCAGGACTGCTAATTAGTCATTTTATAATCACTTTGACTCTAAATCAGAGATTCTTGGTTGTAAACTTCTGTTCCACACTGTCCAAAGACCTTCAGAAAAATGTTTGCTGGTACAGTAGCCAGTCTTGGTCCATTTCTCTTCTTTTTTTGGTGGCAGCCCTCTCTAGCAGCTCTGGAATAGTTGCTGGGGCCTCCCTCCCACTATTTGGCTCTTACCCAATGGGACCCAAGACCTGCAGATCTCTTAAACTCATGAGGTCAGCTCCAAGCCAGGACATGTTGATCTTGAACAAACACCAAAGAAGGAGCTGAAATCTACCCTTAGGTTTGCTGAAGTAGGGCATATGCTTTAGAAGTCATGTGCTCATAAGCCAATTGGAAGCCAGAATGAGAAACAGGGTAAGCTGCTCTTTCCCACTCCCCCTCACAGTAAGTGACTCAAAACAATTATAATGTGAGTTGCAGCTTAAAAAGAAGAGAAACTAAGGGTACTGAGTCCCTTTCAAACATCTGTTGAGCAATCAGCTCTTCTGGCTCTTGGCTTCTCAAAATGCAAGCACTTTAGTCCTGACTCATACATGGCTCCAAAGCTCCCATACATTCTACATTGTACAGGCATAAGTAATGCTGACTCTTGAGTGTGATACATAGGCTGATCCTTTTTACACAAAAATTGTTCCTTACATACACAAATCATTTACTTCTTTTGCCCAGATCTTCTCCCTGATATCTTACCCTTGCCTCTTCCAACCAAATTTTTGCTCCTGACAATAAGACTTTCTGTTTAACTATTTTAAATTAAACTTCATCTAATCAGGTTCAGCCCAAAGTTCGAGTCTATTGGCCTTCAAATTAGAGGCCATAAAGCTTGACACCCAAAAGGGTCCTACCTGCCCCCAATGAATACGGGATCAGCCAGTTGTTGGGTGGGAAGATAGGTCACTTCCCCCTCTCCCCCATGATAGCCATTTATGGGGTCCATCTCCCACACAACCACACCTACTTTTATCCTTCAACACTTCTCCATTTTGTTCCCTCTGTCTGCCATCCATGCTCCCAACCTCCTTATTTCTGAACCAGGAGTTAGCCATTTGCTGAGGCAGTTATAACCAAGTCTCCACCTGGGCAAAGACAGTAGTTGCTGCATTAACGTTATTGGCCAAATCCTTCCCAACCCCCATTATACCAACCTTTTGGACCTCAAATCACCACATGGACACAACAGACACCTATCTGAGGGCTGGTTGTATACTTTGGGGCTGTAATCATGAGGAAGAGTCCCTTTTTTCCCACTTTTAATTTTTAGAAGGAAAGAGTAAGTTTCACTAGATGATAAGCAGTCATAAATGGGTTTCAGTTTTACTTAGACAACTCACTAAACTCACTAAAACATTTTTTTCCTCCATATACGCACCCATCTTCTAAATTTCCTTATTACCCTAGAATTCCCATCATCCTTATAAGCACACAGGTTCACCAATCTGTCAAGAAAAAAATTTCAAGAGCCAAGGTTTCCAGCTATTAAAAATCAATTTATTATTTAGACTGGCCAATAATCAATAAATTGATCAATAAAGTGATCTCTCTTGGTAACCTAAGGCAGTCTCAGATCATCTTAAATGCCCATCTGTTTTCCTTTATTATTACTTCTTTTATTGAATGCCACTGCACATTATTGGGACTGCCCCAGACAAGAAAAACATTCAACTCTAATTGGTGAACACTTAATGAGGTGGTGGTTTAAGAGTCTTTAGCCCCTCTCATTTACTTCATCATTAAAGGGGGGAGCTGAGTGGAGACATGACCTGGTCATGAAGTCCAGCTCCCTCTAGCAATCTAATGGCCCCATCAGGATCTCTTTGGCTTAGTTTCTCCTTCATAAACCAGACCCCCCAAACTCTAATGAAGGGACCAAGGACACAAGAATCTCTCTGGGAATCTTTGACCAGCTCAGTTTGTCTTCTGTTTACAGGGTAGACAAAAGCCAGGGCCCCATTTGGCTAGGGCCCAGCGCAAACTAGTTAATAAGCAGATGCCTTTGGGATTAGGAGAGATGAGATTATTATTTTTGACCTTTATCTCATTCCTTTTAATTTCTATTTTGTATAAAATGTTTAATGCAACTAATCATTAGTGTAGTTTTACATGTATATAATTTATAAGTAAACACATATACATATGTAGGTGATGCATGCTTAAATATTTTTTACTGATAGAGATGTGTGATCAAAAAGTTTGAATACTACTGTACCCATAGGCATACAGTTGGAGCTCAGATACCATCCCTAGGTTAAACGCTGGCCTCAATCATAAACTGTCTTCTAAGTCCTGTCATATCTTGAGTCCTAACTTCAGGCTCAAAGCCTTGAACCCTACTAAAGACTGCTTGCTCCTGGCCAAAACTGACCTTAAACTTTTCCACAGAATGATCTCTGGTATGGGTTACAAATTGATCCTCATTTCTGGTCACTTCATGAATCCTAATCCTAACCTCTGACTAATTCCCTAATCCCTGTCAAAGATTATCCCAGATGCTGCTAAAACTCTGATTGGAGAATTGTACCTGGAAATGAGCTTTAAGTCTAGCCCTGGACCCCAACCTTAGTCTTACACTGAACTTCTAACCCTGGTCACAAAGTCATCCTTAATGAAGTGTCATTAGCTTGTTTCAGTCCGGACAGAATTTGTCATGGTGCAGTGTATAAAAAGAGAAAGCTCAGAGCCAAATACCAATTGCACTGATGATTAACGTTATACATTGTTCAGAGATAACTGGTAGTTAAGCTTAACAGACAGGAATCTTAGCCAAACTGACCTTGCCAAATTAGACTCCAAGAAACCACATATCCCTCTCTACCTTCCTCCTTCCTTTCAGCTTTCTACTCATTCCTGGTAGACTGAATAGACCTCAGGGCCTCTGAGTCCCTAAATCCCTGGAGACTCCCCTGTGATTCCTTTATAAAGCTCTTGGTCCTGGGAGACTACATCATCAATGTAGAGGGCTGGCAGGGATTGGTGGCAGTGCTGCTTCTACCCAAGGCCCTTCCTTTGCCCTCTAGGCAAGGAAGGTAAGTACTCTGTGCTCCCCTCCCCGGTAATACCTGTCAAGGGCTATGCTTGGTCTCTAAGAAGAGCCACTTAGAATCTGCTAGATAGATGGGTCTGAATGAGCATTGGCCACTTCCTTCCTTAGAAGTATAATCTCATCCCAAGACAACCTTCCCTAAAAATCAGGATTCAGAAGCCACTTTTGCAGAGCTATTTGAGACTGTTAACAAAAGACCCCCAGGCTCATAAATGGACCTGAAATGAAATTGTCCTATACACTAATTTAAAGCGTTTATTGTCTAAGAAGAATCTGTAAGGGAGGGGAGTAGTTACAAGGGAGCAGAGAGGGAGAGAGTTCTTAGTTGCTCAAAAGGGAGTGGAAAAAGGGCGAGATAATATAATTTCTATGGGGGTGGGGAGAGGGGGGTGATTAAGGAAGCAGGCTTCTGTGGACACAATAAACCAGGATGTTTAGAAAGTCCGGAGCAAGGTCTTGAGTCTGCAGCTGCTGCCCACAGTTGCCCTTGAGCTTTTTGACTTCTGGGCAGCTACAGGCTTCTCCAAAATCAGCTAGAGTTCACTCACAAAGGCGCACTGCTATGTCCAGCAGCTTTTGGCTTCAGAAGCCTTTCTGATTGGCTAGTTGTTGTGTAGTTCTGACACTTTGCTACAGTCATTACAAAGCCCATGTTAATAAGACCCTGTAAGAGTCTACTCACTTTCCTACTCACTTTCACTAAAGGTTCTAAAATATCTCTGAGTTCTCCTCCAACCTGACTCCACTGCCTCTGCTGATTACATCATTCCTCTCAGTCACTCAGGCAACAAATTAGAGGCTTATCCTTGTTTCAGCTCTCTCCCTACTCTCCCCAGTGGCCAATCAGTTGCCAATTTATGTTGAACCTTTCTCTGCAGTATCTCCCTAAACAGAGCCCATTGTCACTACCCTAGTTATTGTATCTCAACTGTAACAGCTTCCCAGCTGCTCACCCTGCCTCAGATCTATTGTCTCTAATCCATCATTCACACAACAGTCAAAATAATTTCCCTAATGTGTTACTCTTTTTATATTCATGTTTGTTCTATGTATACTTATACACAGGGGGTCCCCAACATCTGGGTTCAGTTTTAAGTTTATTAAAACTTAAATTTTAAATTTAAATTTTAAAGTTTAAATTTTAAACTATTAAGTTTAAAACAACCCTAATAAACCCAAACAGTTTAAAAGTACACAAAGACTTCTAAGTTATCCTGTATGTCCTTGCTGTCTCATTATTAGAAGAGAAACTTCTTGCAAGCAGAAATTGTCATACTGTATTTGTATTCTTTGGGCCTATCAAGGTACTAGGCTCATAGCAGGCACTTAATAAATGTCTCTGACATATTTTGGCTAATTGAGCCTGGGTAAGTCTTTTAACCTCTCAATGCTCCAAGGCAACTCACTAAGATTCTGAATGTTACAACAGCAACTGGTCTGACTTGAAAGTGGGAGTTCCTTATACCATTTCATTCATAGGTCAGAATAAGTAAGGTGCTACTTATTACTTTTTAAAGTAGGCTATTCCATTATGGACAGATTTCATTGCCAAAAAGTCTTTTCTTGAATTAAATTTATATCTATTTAGCTGCAACTTCTCCCTTCTCCTTCACTCCTATCATTGCTCTCACTTTCATCCTTTGGGATGAAATAGAATAACTACTTTCTTTTTTTTTTATAAATTTTTTATTTTTTTATTTTTAACATGTATTTTTAAAGCTTTGGGTTACAAATTTCCTCCCTTCCTCCCTCCCCACCCACCCTCATTGAAAAGGTAAGCATCTTAGTACAAGTTATAGATGTGTAGTCATGCAAAACACTTCCATAGTAGTCCTGTTGTGAAAAACTAACTCTATTTCCCTTAATCCTATCCTGCCCTCCATTTATTCTATCCTCTCTTTTGACCCTGTCCCTCCTCAGAAGTGTTGCTTCTGATTATCCCCTCCCCCAATCTGCCCTCCCCTCTACCAACCCCCTGCTCTCTCCCCTTTCCCCCTTATTTTCCTGTAGGGTAAGATAGATTTCCATACCCCATTGTGTATGTTATTCCCTCCTTAAGCCAATTCCTATGAGAATAAGATTCACTCATTCCCTCTCACCTCTCCCCATTTCCCCTCCATTGTAAAAGCCTTTTCTTGTCTGTTTCATGTGAGATATTTTACCTCATTCTACTTCTCCCTTTCTCCTTCTCCCAGTATAATCCTCTCTCACCCCTTAATTTTATTTTCCAGATATCACTCCTTTATCTTCAACTCACTGTGTGCCCTCTCTCTCTATATCTATACATACATATAGTTTTTTTCCCTCCCACTACCCTAATACTGACAAAGGACTCATGAGTTACAAATATCTTTCCCTGTAGGAACGTAAACAGTTCAACCCTAATATGCCTCTTATGATTTTTCTTTCCTGTTTGCATCTTCCATATTTCACTTGAGTCTTGTATTTGAAGGTCAAATTTTATATTCAGCTCTGGTCTTTTCCTCAGGAATGCTTGAAAGTCCCCTATTTCATTGAATGACCATTTTTTACCCTGAAGGATTATATTCAGTTTTGCTGGGTAGGTGATTCTAGGTTGTAAACAAGCTACTTTCACTAAGTTATTCTGCATCTTCATAATTACCAGATATGGTGATAAGGACAGAGAACCATCACTCCCTGCCTTTCTTAATATAGCCTAAAATCATACCAGCTCTTTTGGCAGGTTATGTCACAATATTGATATTCACTTGGAATACACTAATCCTTAGGGGGTTGGTGTCAATGTTTTTAACAAACTGTTGCCTAACCAAGATTGTGAAGTTATTTTTTAACTCGAGCATAAACATTTACCTTAACTCTATTAATTTCATATTTTAAAATTTGTCCCATTCTTGTCCCAGAATAGCATGAGAAACTTTGTAAAATGATCTTTGAAATCTAGGTATATTATTTCCCTATCATTCTCTCCAGTCATCAGCCTAGTAACTCTGCCATCAAACAAAATGAAGGTAGTCTGATAAGATCTGTTCATTCTGAAGTTTTATTGGCTCTCTGTAATCATCACTTCCTTTTTTCTGTGTTCACTAATCTTCCCTTTAATAACACATTCAAGAATATTGTTAGAAATTGGAGTCAAACTAATTTAATCTGTTTCTTGTAAATAAAGTATAGTCATTTTGCAGTCACAAATACTATTTCTATCAAGTTAAAAATCCACATCTTATATTAGCATCTCTGTTTCACCTTGTTTCATTATTGACATTTTCTGAATTTTTGTATGAACCTCAGAGGACATATTTCTTATTACTACACCTATTATTGGATATTCCCAGGAGATACTTGTGAATTATTGATTTTTCTACACACACATAGACACGCACACATATACATATATACACACATGCAAATATATATATATATATTTATATACACATAATATACCTACATGTATTGATATGGCAGAAATATTTACAATAATGTGTGAGCAGCTTTTTTGGCTCTCACAGCTCCCGTCTTAATTACTCTTAATCAAATGTAGATGCTTCCAAGCAAATGTATATTTAAGCTTTCATACCTTATTTTTCATGGGTTACTTTTCCTATATATTTTCCACTATTTAAAAAACAAACAAATGAATATGATCATGTCTTAGTTTGTTTTAAAGCATTTATGCTTAAAGGTACACATATTCCATCTTAGCCAGGGGCTACACGCAGATTGATGGTAGCATGATGGAGATTCTCCTCTTCTTCTAACAGTTTTGAGTTGCTGGCCACTAGAGAGTAAGGATAAGGATAAAGGGTAATGATAAAGTTAAGCAAAGGAATATACACACATATACACATATATATACACATATACACATATGCATATATGTGCCTATATCTATCTGAATGACGTGAAAGTAGGTCTCAGGATCAATTGGGGAATGGCTGAGCAAGTTGTGGTATATGAATGTGATGGAATACTATTGTGCTATAAGAAATGATGAACAGGCTGACTTCAGAAAAACCTGGAAAGACTTATATGGTCTGATGCTGAGTGAAGCGAGCAGAACCAAGAGAACGTTGTACACAATAACAGCCACGTTGTGTGATGACTAATACTGATAAACTTAACCCTTCCTGGCAATACAAGGATCTAAGATATCTCCAGAGGCCTTGTGATGGAAAATGCTATCCTCACTCAAACAAAGAAGTATGGAAGCTGAATTGTTATTTTTTTTCTCTTCTGTTGAGTTTTGTTTCCTCTTTCTGATGGTTCCTCCTATTGGTTTTAATTTCTACTTACAACATCACTAATGTGAAAATATGTTTAATATGAATGCAAATGTATAGCCTATATACAGATTGTGTGCCGTCTTGGGGAGGGTGGTGGGGTGGAAGGGGGAGAAAATTTTAAACTCAAAAGCATATGGAAGTGATTATTGATAAATCAAAATAAATTAATAAAAAATTAAAAAAAAGAAAGTAGGTCTCAGGGTAATTTGAATAGGAATTAGAAAATGGGGGAGGGGGAATGAGAAAACCAGGGTACAAAAAAATAGCTTTAACTAAAGTGCTTTGTAAGTCTTGGATAAAGTATGGCCATTTTATTGTCATGAATACCATCTCAGAGAGCCTCAGTTTTACCTATCAAGTAAAAATTCAACATCTTACATTAACATCTCTATTTCTCCTAGTTTTATTACTGAGATTTGATGAGTTTTTCTATGAACATCAGAGGGTATGCTTGTTATAGCTGTCTCTATTCTTGGGCAAGTGGCATCCATGAATTACCGACTCTTTCTAGACACACACTTATGTATGTATACCTATATGCATCCATACATATATACACATACATATGTACACATATATTCTAAAAAGAAGAGCAGTGATGATAAATAGTATTATTACTATTAATCCTGAGAATAGACAGGAAGGGAGGAGGTTCTCTTGTGTTAGAGTTGTCAGAGGATGGCTTCTTAGAAGAGATGAACTTTGAATGGGGTCTAAAAGGAAACTTTATATGGGGTAGGAGGGAAGGGTGGATATTCTAGACATGTAATAAAAATGAAAGGGATTAAGGATAAGAAACCATGATTGACCCACATAAGTGGAACATAATGTATACATTGGGGAGTAGGGAAAAATAAACTTTATTGTATGACCTTGATAGTTACATTGAGGTACTCCACAATGATATGTCCTTTCCTTTCCTTTCTTTGAAATGTAGCTGTGTAGTCTGATCAAAAGTCCCAACGTGGAAGGTTTCCTCACCAATGACTCTGGTTTACCCCCTTTCATCCTAACTGGTTTCACAGGACTTGAGGCCTCCCAGCAGTGGATATTCCTGCTGTTTGGTGCCCTCTATTCTGTCTCTGTTGTTGGTAATTGCCTGATCCTCTTCATTGTTAAGGAGGAGGAAAGTCTTCACCAGCCTATGTACTACTTCCTTGCTGTGTTGTCAGTCAATGACCTGGGTGTGTCATTGTCCACACTGCCCACTGTGATGGCCACCTTCTGTTTCCATGCCAGAGAGATTGCCTTTGAGGCCTGTATGGCCCAGATGTTCTTTATCCATTTCTTCTCTTGGACAGAGTCAGGAATCCTTCTGGCAATGAGCTTTGACCGCTACATAGCCATCTGTAACCCACTACGGTACTCTACCATCCTCACTGATGCCCGTGTTACCCAAATGAATTTGGCAATTGTACTCCGAAGCTTCTTCATGGTTTTCCCGCTTCCCTTCCTCCTGAAGCATCTGCCCTTCTGCAAGGACAATACTCTGTCCCAAGCTTTCTGCCTGCACTCAGATCTTATCCATCTACCCTGTGGGGACAGCACTCCAAACAGCATCTATGGCCTCTGTATTGTGGTTTCTGCTTTTGGCCTGGACTCTGTCCTCATCCTCCTCTCCTATATACTCATCCTCCGCTCCGTATTGGCAATCGCCTCTCAGGAAGAGCGACTTAAGACACTCAACACATGTGTTTCCCATATTTGTGCTGTTCTCATCTTTTATGTGCCTATGGTGGGTGTGTCCATGGCCCATCACTTTGGGAAGCATGCCCCTCCATTTCTAAATACAGTCATGTCCTTCATCTACCTCTTTGTCCCTCCCATGCTCAATCCTGTCGTCTACTCCATCAAGACCAAAGAGATCCGCTGGAGGCTCATCAGGATATTCCCAGCAAGAAGCTCTGTTCGGAGGGAGCTAGGATGAACCACCAGCTCCCTACACCACATGCTGTAGTTCTAGGTTTGGTAAAGAAGCATAGGAAGCCTATCTCCTATTTTCTATACTTATCATTTAGATAGGGTGCCACTAGAAGGACAAGGAAATCTAGATGATGGATCTGTGATCTAATCTGTTTGGACAAGTTTCTGTAGTGCGGCTCACTGAGTCACAGGCTATAGAACACAATTCCAGTCATTTATATTTTTTTCTAAAGATAACACTTTTCTTAAGTAAGACCTGCTTTTGAAATGAATGATATCCTGAAAATGGTGCCATAAAGTGAATTCTTGGTGAATCACACCGTCCCACGGAAACACTGAAGATGGAGACAAAACCAAAGACTGGACTCAAATAAATTTTGGATGTGACCAGCTATTATTGTAAAAACAAAGATACGAGAACTATAACCCAGTCTTATAAAATGAGCATTAACATTCCAGTGTGCTATAAAGTTTATACGGGGGGGAAAGTACAGTCCAAATACATCGTAAATGTATTTGTATTTCTTGGCATATATTTGTTTATGAGAGGCCCTATAGTACAGTGGATAGAAAACAGGCCTTAGAGCACAGAAAACCTGTATCTTCCCTGTGGCATATACTGATTTTGTAACCCCTGGGCCAGTCTCAGTGCTCTAGACACCTCTGTAAGACTAGAAATCTCAGAGAGGACGTTGACAAAGGTTACACAATTATTTGATTGGTATGAAGATTCTTTTTTTTTTTTGGTATGGCTTTTACTTGCTGGACACTGAAATCCCTTCTAATTCCCAAATTCTATGATTCTGTGACCCACCTTGGTAGAGGGAGATTCCTCATCCACAATTTTCCTGTATCAGTGAAAGTATAGGTCTAGTGCAAATCCTGATAATTTATAAATATTTATGTGTATGCATATTTTGTTTTTTTCCCTTTGATAAAATTTAAGTTCCTTAAGGGCAAGAGACTACTTAATTTTTATCTTCGTATTCCCAAGATTTAACACAGTACCTGGCACATGGTAGATATTTTTTAAAAACTTATTGACTGATCAATTGACTAATATGTGAAATGGATCATTTGTTTTAAAGAGTTCTAATTAAATATTTACATTATAATCTTTTTTTCTGTCTTATTAGAATTTATAAGAGGTGAGGGTCTGAATGCCTGGCCACTTTGAATAGCCCAACCTTCTAAGAAAACACCGTCTGAGAACGTTCAAACTAGATGGCTCTATTTTCCTACCACAAATTTCCCCTTATTATTCAGAGGCTTTCATATGGAATCCATTGACAACTCCAGGTGGGTGTTAGTTGTGAGTGCCAGAAGGGGGCATCTCTAGCTCATCCTCTTTTCTTTGTACTTTTCAGGGCTCTTTCCCCTTTCTTCACCTCCATCTTCCATAGAATCTTCCCTCCATTAAGGGAACAACAAAATTAGGAAATGGAAAGGCCTTAGAGAAAGAAGTCACCAGAAGTCAGCCTGAGGGAAGAGATGGTAGCAGTCACCCAATCTCACTCTTTTGACATATTAGCAGGCACATTTAATGGATGTGAATCTAAACATTCCTTTTAGACCAACTTCTGAAGATCTATCACATTCCCTGGATCTCTGACCCCTTAAATTCACAGTGATTGAGCCAGGGACTTAGTGAAAAATGATAGTGTACTTCTCAGACCATATTCAAGAACTTTTGTCAATGTCGGGAGATGTTGGTCCAGGAAACAAAAGATATCAGGCTTTACAACCCTTAGAGATGGATGAGGGCCCTATCTCTTCCTCTCACTGTAGGGGAAGTCCCTTCCCTTCTGTGACCATTCTGAACTAGAGTCAGTTAGTCAATCCATATATATTTATTAAGCACTTAAAGTAAAATATGTTAATACCTAAGAGATTGGGAAGGTAGAAAGAGGTTTGGAGAGGAGAAAGGATAGAACTATTACAGTTCGGTTGGAGGGGGTGTATTAGAGACCCTGAAAGGATATACTGAGGGTGAGGATGGATATGGAGAGGAAGTCACCTAGGGCCTAGGTAATAGGGATGGGATATTGGGAAGAAGAAGGATATGCAACATGATAGTTTCTTATTTGAATCAAATGTTCTTGCTAATTAGGTTCTAAGTACAATTGTTTCTTCCTGGTAAAAGACATATGGTCAGTACCCTTTAAATTCATCATCCTAAGACAATGTTCTTGCTGTTCCACTCTAGTTACAGCTTTGCAAAACAAACAACATTACTAAAAATTACAAAGATTGGACAAAACAAAAACAAAAACAAAAGCCAAAGCCTTCTGGTGAAATGCAAGGTCAATATGTGTCAACACGTGACAATTAAAAAAAAAATCAGTCATTTAACAAGCATTTATTTATTTTTTTAACAAGCATTTATTAAGCACTTACTATGTGCTAGGCACTGTACTAAGTGCTGGGAATACATATATTGTTCAGTCTTTTTCAGTCATATCTGACTCTTCATTACCCCATTTGGAATTTTCTTGGCAAAGATACTGGAATGTCCTTCTCCAGTTCATTTGATAGATGAGGAAACTGAGGCAAACGGGGTTAAGTGATTTGCCCAGGGTCACACAGGTAGAAAGTGTCTGAGACTGGATTTGAACTCAGGAAGAAGAGTCTTCCTGACTCCAGGCCTGACACTCTATCCACTGAACTATTTAGCTGCCCTTGGAATACACACATATAAGCAGAAATAAAGATAAGCTCTTCCCTAAAGAAGCTTACATTTTAAAGGGGTAATACTACACATAAAAGAAAGCTGAAATGGGGGCATAGGGAGTTGTGAGAAGGAAAGCATCCTGTTCAGTGGAACAGTGAAGAAAACCCAAAGAATTGAGAATGAGGCCCCAAGAGGAATGAAGAAATGAATGACCTGAGCACTTTCCTTAAAATGGAAGAATCAACCAATAATCAACCAACACAACTTATTTTGGAAAGGAAGGGTCCACAGGGTAGAATGAGTTTCTAGGGCAAGGAGGTTGCTGTGGCATGTTCGAGAAAGTATGACAGCGAGTTGGCGCCATGGATAGGGCACTGGGCCTAGAATCAGCTTAAATCCTGCTTCAGATACTAGCATTGTGACCCTGGACAAGTCACTTAACTCAGTTGCCTTATCTATAAAACAGGGATGATAATAGCACCTCTCTCTCAGTATTATTGTAAGGACAAAGTGAAATGATACGCTCTGCAAGCCTTGAACTGCTATTAAATGTGAGCTATTATTATTTTAATATATATTTTATTTTTTCCCTACTTACATGTTAAAATAATTTTAAAATATCTTATTTAAAGTTTCAAGTCCCAAATTCTCTTCCTCCCTCCGTCTCTTCCCCCTTCCCTGATACAGTAAGCAATCAGATATAGGTTATACATCTGCAATCACGTAAAACATTTCAATATTAGTCATTTTGTATACGAAGACTCAAATAAAAGAAAGTGAAAAATAGCATGCTTCAGTCTGTATTCAAACAATATCAGTTCTTTCTCTGGAGTCTGATAGTATGCTTCATTATTAGTCCTTTGGTATGGATCATTGGATCATTGTATTGGTATGTTATTATTATTATTAGTCAGGAGTGGAGCCTGGAGAGGAATGAAGATTCAAAAAGAAAAATATTGCATCCAGAAGTAAGGAAGTTACATAGTCCAGCTGTACTCTGCCTTGGTCAGAAGACATTTGGAATAGTATGCTCAGGCCTGGCTACAACATTTAAGGAAGGACAAAGATGAACTTGGCACAATTCTCTAGGAGGGTATCTGCGATGGTGAAGGTCCTGGAGACCGTGCCATACCCAGAGGATATTTACCCTGGACTCACAGGGATCAGCATTTCTGTCTTCAAGAAATTAAGTATCGGGGGCAGCTAGGTGGCGCAGTGAATAGAGCACTGGCCCTGAATTCAGGAGGACCTGAGTTCAAATCCGGACTCAGACCAAACACTTGACACTTACTAGCTGTGTGACCCTGGGCAGGTCACTTAACCCCAATTGCCTAAAAAAATAAAAATTAAGTATCATGTGGAAGAGATAGTAAATTTATCTTGTAAAACCCCAGAAATAGCAATGAGGGGAAGTTGCAGAAAGGAAGATTACAATTCAATGTAAAGAGAAACTTCCTAATGTTAGACAGGCACAGAAGTGAAGATGTTGAATGAGGAAGCTTTCCTTTCACTGAAGGGCATAGAGTGAATGAATGAATGAATGAGCACATTTTTAAAAAAAAGTATTTATTGGGTACTTTCTATGCTTCAGGCACATGGCACACTATAGGCTAGGGATAGAAATATAAAAGAAAGACATTAACTGATCTTAGGAGCTTACTTTCTATTAGATGTGGATGACACATATAGGGAAGTGGTGGCCAGTGAAGGGTGAAAATCACAGGAGCTCCACTTAGTGGTGCCACTGAGCTATTGAATGATTCACCCTTTCCAGGTGACCCTAAATAAAGAAAAATTTAAGAACCATTTGGAAGAAGGTGGATATACAGTAGAAGAGGGATTCTAAAGCCAAGATTTGTGAACTTGCTTTAAAAAAATGATAACATCTCAATAAAAATGGGTTTCCTTTTTATTCCTGTGTATTTTATTTTATGGATATATATATATATCACATATACATATATCACGTATACATATAGCATATGTGTGTGTGTGTGTGTGTGTTCTAAGAAAGGGTCCATAGGCTTCACCAAACTGCCAAAAGGAGAAGAATCCCTGCTGTACAGGGCGTTCCTACTTAGGTGTGAGTTCAGCCTAATGACTTCTGAAGTTTCTTCCAAACTGAAAAGTCTGTGGCCTTAGGGAACAAGGGATCTCATTCTGAATATTGTGCTTCTGTAAAGGGACTTACTATTTTCACATAAGCCATTATCCATCAGTGCCTCAAAATGTGTTTGATTTTTTTTAAACTGAAAAACAAACATTTAACCAAACATTTGATAAACTTCTTTTATATGCAAAGCACTGTACTAGTAGCTGGGGAGGGAAACATA